GTAGATTATATTTAATTATTTATCTACTTACAAAAAGTGAATAAACAACAGTGTAATATTATTATAATACATATATGTATAGAATCTATTACATTTATTAGCTGTGACAGCTTTGTTTATTATAAACTTTGCCTTAAATAATTCTACACATCAAATCTTACAGTAAAAAGTTACCAGTATTTATTTTAAACCAAATCAATTTCTGACAGTCGTGTCTACATAAATAAAAAAACTTACATATATTTCACCCATGTCGTATTGTAAACCCTGAGCAGTAAATGAAAGAGTTGGAGATATGACATGACATGTTGAATGACAGGTAGACGGCGACAGACGTCTTCATTCTCTGCCATTAACACACCTTGACAAGCCACTCGGGCCCACACACACACACACACACTGTATGCAAAGCGCTGCAACTCATCTGATATGCCTCCTCCACTTTAATGATGTATCTGAGGCTGGTGCAATGCTGCATTAAAAGACTTAATTGCGTTCTGTGCAACCCCCCAACCCCCATCCCCGGCAAGTGAGGACATCCACAGTTTAAATTGGGAGCATCTGCAGTTTCACAGCATCTCAAAACCTCCCCCCCTGACCATCACCACCACCTCCCGCTCTTAAACACTTTATTTGTTTGGAGGACGTCAGCAGCCTCCTGGCACTTTAACGTTAAGCGTTGATAACTAGTTATGGGAGCTTAGCTTGGCTATTCGTTTATCCTCCGACGGCTGATCGTTCGCTGATAGAAAGGTACAAAAGCATCCCATGCTCTCGCCTCTCATATTGGTGGACCATCAGCACCTTGCCTAAGCTAATCTGTTTGAGGCGTATTGTGCAGCCCTAACACCAGCACTTTCTGTTATCTGCCATGCTTGATGAGGTACATCTTTATTAAATTCACTTCAGCGGATGGGTTTCAAGAAGGGAACCGGGAATATGCTAATAGTGGGGACAAATTAAACTCTTTTTTTTCTCTCTCTCGAATTCACTGTCCCATCCTCCATTTAGCCCCCATCTTCTCTTGAGCATATCTCTCCCCATCGGACTGCAGGCAAGGGTGCTAATGAATGCCTGGATCCAGAGCACAAGGTGGGGGAGCGGGTGGGGAATAAGGGAGCAGAACATCTATGCTTTACCACAAAAAAAAACTGGTGTTGTGCAAGGTGAAATAGCTTTTCTTTTCATTTTGCACACCAGCCCCTCCCATCCCAGCGACCAGTACCTCGTCGTTCCCCCTTTCCTTGTCATAAGATGCTACTTTTTCCTTCCAAATCCAGTCCAACAGCTCCCCCTAGTGCACATGGTGCAATAAATTGGCGTCACAGAGCAATGACGCCGCTAGCCCGTTATGCGCACGGTTATGTAGGTCACCCGTCCGCCGTTTGGCCTGTGGAGTGTTTTCCACTGGTACTTAACCGGAGATCAAACACATCTCCCAGCATGACTTCCCACTTCAATTAGAGCAGAGCATTGCGCACAAACCCGCGTTTCGACCGAGAACCAGGTTAGCGAAACACGCTGGGCCTGCGGAAGCAAATCTAAACACATTGGCGCTCTAAAAACAGTCGCAATCCGAGAGCTTCTTCTGTCACGTTACCCCCGAGAGCAGCTGTATCAAGCAGACCAGAGTGCGAACAAAAAGTGGCTCTTTTGTTTCTCGCCATTGGCATGTAAAGAGGTGGCAGAGAGCTGCAAATAGCAGCGAACGAAGGGTTAACAGGCTAAAGACAAAGCGAGAGGCTGAGAGCATTGTGCTAGAGTGAGGACTGGAGGGCCTCGGGGCCATGATGGGCCAAAGGCCTCCGCATAGGGACACTGTGCTCCTTTCAGCCCGGGCCTTTCAAGAGCACACCCTGCCTGAAAAGAGCCTGTCACAGCCCCCCACTACCACTCTCCTTCACAGCTCTCTATCCCAATCAGCTCCTCTCTCCCGTCCCTCAGAGAGCGAGGAGGCCCGATCCTTCTCTCTACAGGCCTGAACCAATCTCTGGCCCCCAGAGGTTGAGCACTTTTCAAAAGGAGGTCATATTGCTGAGGTTCTGCCAGGTCTGAGAACCTGACGCCAACTGAGATGCAATTCAGCACCATCTATGTGGCATATATACGTTGAGAGAGACAACTTCAATGAGCTGCTTCATTAAAGCACCACATTTAATGAGCAAAGTTTTAATTGAGAGATGCAGCAATGCTCCAAAACACCTTATGGTTGTCTACATGTTGAATATTAGACTGGCTTAGTTTGAGCATGGGTTAATATACCTCAAATATCTAAACTTAAAGCAAGAACATGGATTGGATTCATGAAAATCTTCTCAAAAAACAAGACATTAGTGAAGATTAATTAAGACGTTTCTTAAATAATTGTGCAATAATGGTCTTAATTGAGATCCTTAGTTTTCAATTTTCCTCAGAACATTGATTTGGTGTTGACTATTTAGTTTGTTTCTTCAGGCATTGGTGGTATGTTTGGCAGTTCTTATTGAAGACTTGCTAATCATCTTGAGGTGACCTCAAGGCCTTTTGTACATTGAGTAAAGTGCTGGTGATGGGCACTTTTGAATCACTGCTTTGTGAAGCTTTGAAAACCCTTGCTTTTGTTTGGAACACAATTAAAACTACTTAAGTCACGTGATTTCAGCAATGAGGGTTTGTTATGTCACATTGTTTCAAGATTTTAATAATTCGTCATTGGGGGCGATCTCTGTGTCTCGTATCTCAGTGTATAACCATTATTACTACCTTACTGGCCTGATTAGACAAAATCTTAATTAGACAAACTAAACAAGCCATTAAATGAATATATAATCTATTATATAATTGGTATGTATGGGAGGGGGGGTTATAACATTGAATAACATTGAATAATATATAGGATTCTCAGCATAATTGAGTACACACCATTTTGAAAATGAATATTTTTGTTAATTTCTTAGTCAATATGCCATGTAGGTTGGTGCATTTAAACAAAATAGATTAATGAAACAAATATATTTATTAAAATATTATTTTAACCACCAAACATATTTAGAAATTAAGCGATAATACAATTAAATCCAAGCAAATAATGCAAAAAAAAATTACAACCTACAAAACTTTTTGTTTCTCTTGATTTTTCCTCTTTTTTAAAATTTATATTTAATATTTTTCTATAACATATAAATGTAAATGCTCTAGTTTTTGGATCGTTAGCGTAAGTAATTTTGTTAGATAAGCTCCAGATTTGGCTTCAGTACTGACCAAACTAATGTATATGTAAAAATATAATATTGTAAAGTTTCATAATAAAATATGAATTTAAAAGATAGATTTCCGAGAGGTCAACTTATATATGCTGAGCACTGTATGATGAAAAGCATTTGTCTTGAGTTTGTAAAAGCTGTTTTACACATGTTCTGGCATTAGTTTTTATAGCATTTTGAAGCGTTGAAACTGTAAATCATGTTGCAAAGCAATTAGCGCAGTTTATTTAAATTTGAAAAGATTTGTTTTGCTCATTGCTGTGTAAGGATGTTTTAAATGTTAAGGCTGTTAAAAAATATTTAATAAACTAAAATTGACTTGTTTTGTCACTGAATTTTGAAATTAGCAGTCACATCACGCACAGTCATGGCGGTTTGTCATACTAGCTAACTAGCTAAGTTAAGTACATTACTAGCTAAGCACTTCTGCACATCCATAGAAAGAGTCAAATGTAAATGTAACTAGTTGTAATGTAATGTAATGTAGATTTATATAGCACATTTATTGTATATGGCCATACAACAAAAGTGCATCACAACCATGAGGTGGGTCTCTCCACACCACTATCAGTATGCAGCATCCACCTGAATGATGCAATGGCCGCCACAGGACAATGGCGCCAGTACGCTCAACACACACCAGCTATAGGTGGAGTGGAAAGACAGAAATACAGCCAATTCGGTGGATGGGGGTGATTAGGAGGCCGTGTTGGGTAAGAGCCGATGGAAAGAATTTGGCCAGGACATCGGGGTTACACCCCTACACGACTACTACTACTCTAAACTAAAAAGTGCCCTGGGATTTTTAATGACCGCAGAGATTCAGGACCTCCGTTCAAAGACTCATCCGAAGACGGCACTCACTGAAAGTATAGTGTCCCCTTCACTATACTGGGGTATAAGGACTCACACAGAACACAGGTTAAGTGCCCTATATAGTGACCTAGTTTTCCCATGTGGTCTCTTATCCAGGTACTGCTCAGGCTCAGCCCTTCTTAGTGATAGTGAGTACCCGGTCTTAGGCTGCAGGGTGATATGACTGTGCCAATTTGTATACAGTATATGATTCTTAATGTTGTTTTAAAAATCAGTAACTTAATTTAATATGTTCTATTTAGGATTTAAGTTATTTATTTTAAATGTATTAAAATCATATATTTTTTTATGCAAGTATTTCTTTAATTATAAGAAAAACACGTTTTTCTCAAGTGTTTTGAAGAGAATTCTTAAGATAAAAGATAAGACCATTCTTAGAAATGGTATTGTATACAGTCATACATTTTTTTTTTCGGATTAGTCCCTTTTGTTTATCCGAGGTCGCCACAGCGGAATGAATCGCCAACTTATCCAGCAAGTTTTTACGAAGCGGCTGCTCTTCCAGCCGCAACCCATCTCTGGGAAAGGTGTTGTATACAAAATATTTGTACTTTGTAAAGTAGAAAATTAGAAAACAGCAAATATTGACTTATACATTTATAATGGGTATACAAGATCATATAAAGTATTTGTAAATTTGTATGACTTTACTTTTTTCAGTTATATTTTTAAGCAAATAGATGCCATATATGTCAAGTGGACACTGACTAAGGTTTTCATTGCCTTCTGCTGTTTTTACACTAAACCATAAAAATACTCTTTTCAAAATCTCCTAAGTTGTTTCCTCCTTTTTTGAATTGTGCTGTTTAGCATGTTTACTGTCATATTTTATTGGCTATACACACATTCACAGTGGTTTAAACATAAGAGCTTGGTGCTTACATATCTGTGGAGAATCTCTTTCCTCTCATGTGGGTCGTCCAGTACGTTGACAGACAGGTCTGCAATGGAGACGGCAGCAGAGGCTGTAAGGGTGACCAGAAGCACCAGCATGCCCTCGCCCTCCTCCAGCGGCAGGTCCAGTCTGTGTGTGCATTCCTTTGACAGAAGAGACAGGTCCACCTGGCACCTGACACACATGCACACAGCACCACCAATATCATTACACATCATAAACATATGTTACAGAAAACAAAGCAGAAAAAGCCTTGCATTAATGCAATTTACAGGTATTACTACATCTATTAAGTCATTGCAACAGGGTTTCTGCAGGTTTCCCCAAGTCAAATTTAAGACTTTTTAAGACCTTTTTAAGACCATCAAGATATAAATATGGCTAAACATTAAAAATTTTTACTTGCTCCATCAAAAAAATAATTCTATTTAATTATTCTCAGCCACAGTTTTTAAATCTTCCCAACCTCAACAAAGTGTATATCAGCCGTCTACACAGGAAACCCAGCAACATCAGCAAGGATCCAATTCATCCAGGATACAGTTTGCACATGAACAAATAACATGCTCTGCACTGGACTTGAAAAGATAAAAATGTTCGCTTCATTCAGAGTGCATTGCCCATAGAGAGTTAAAATTGGTAAAGGTTCTATTCCTATTAGTCTTATAGCAATTCTGATAATATTAAAAAAATTTGATTTCAGTTTTACAGAAAGATTACCATAGCATGTAGATAGACCATAGCTGGTGATACTCTCAAATACAGCCTGATAAAATGAGTGCATGATTTTCTTGTCAACATCATAGTACCATAACCTTTGTATAAAACAAAAGTCCTTGATAAAGCTTTTCACAAATCCAATTTACGTGAGTGTCCCATGTAAGAGACCTATCTATGTACATTCCCTAATACTTGTATGACTGTACCTGAGTTATTACTTGATTATGTACAAACACTGGTAAATGCTCGACAACACACTTGGGATCAAAGATTATACTTTTCTTTTTCATTTTTTTTTTTTAATTGAATTAATTTCAGAAAAAATACACAGAAACAGGATCTTGTTTTTTCAGCAAACTTAGAACTTTTAGAACCGTAACTTAGAACCGGAGTACCCAGAGAAAACTGACGCCAACACTGAAAGAGCATGCAAACTCCACACAGAAATGGCAACTGCCCCAGCCGGGACTCAAACCAGCAACCTTCTAGCTGTGAGGCGACAGTGCTAACCACTGAGTAACCGTGCCACCCACATAAAGTAAAAAAATGTGGTAACTGTTTTGTTTTTTAAAGGACAAAAACCAATATTACTTACGACGTAACACCTGACACAGAATACTAGGTTATTTTAACTGATTAAAAGCGACAGTAATCTTATAAAAGACTTCCAAAAAAAAAAAAAAATATATATATATATATATATATATATATATATATTTTTTTTTTTTTTTTTATTAAACTACATTTGTATTATATCCTCCTGAGACCCTCTTTTTATTGTGATTTCCTACAATCTTTGGGTTAAAAAAAATCTACAATTTAGAGACTTTACATTTTGTTTTTATTTTTAATTTTACAGCATGTCCACTGTAGTGGACCAGAGGACCGTTTTAGGTTGAAACTGTACAGTATATGGCTGTAAAATGATATTGATCCAACATTAATATAACAAAAACTAAACTAAAGCCATTTTTTTGTACTGAAATTCCTTAAACAGTTTAGTCTGAAAGAAAGCCGAAAAAAAAACAGACAAAAAAGAAGTGATGTTAATCCAATACAAAAAAATCCAATAAAAAGTTTAACAAAAAAAGAGGTTTAAAACTGATGGTCATTCTCTGATAGTCTCTAATTATGTAATTGTCTGATTGTCAGACTTTAAGTCAGAGTCTCCCTCAACTATCTTATAAAGAATCCTCTCTGCTTTAATTCTGCCTCCTACAAATTGCAGTCATTTAAAACATTAAAATGGTCCTGTTGTGGGGCAAAGCAGTGGCACAGTCGGTAGTGCTGTCGCCTCACAGCAAGAAGGTCACTGGGTTCTGGTTCGATCCTCGGCTCAGTTGGCATTTCTGTGTGAAGTTTGCATGTTCTCCCTGCGTTTGCGTGGGTTTCCACCGGGTGCTCCGGTTTCCCCCACAGTCCGCTGTGGCGACTCCAGACTAATAAAGGGACTAAGCTGACAAGAAAATGAATGAATGAATGAATGAATGAATGAATGAATGGTCATATTGTCCACTATAGTGGACATTTAAAAAAAAGGATGATATTTTAAAACACAAACAAGTTAACAGCTTTGAAAGCTAAATGTATTGTTCCTGACACTTTAATTAACAAACATATGTAATAATAGCAAAGAAACATTTAAAAAGCAACATTTTACAATTCCCATAAAATGTGCTTGTTTGTTTGTCAGTAATTTTGGATGCATTGTAAGAAGTGGTTCCTAGCATGCCAGACAATCAAATGACATATCACTAGAAAGCCCAGGATGTCCTCTGAACAGTACAATAGGACTTTCACAACTGTAGTTCGCTTCATTTGGTCCGGACCAAGGGCAATAAATGATACATTGTTGCATCTTCTGCCGTCTTTGGGCCGTTTTTACACCACACTGCTGGCTTTGGTCCGAACCAGTTAAAACGAACCAAAATGCAGTCATCTGACAAAATCCACATCTCTCATTGGCCGGATGTTGTTGAACATGTTTCCTAAACAGCTTATTGATTGGTCAGATTTCATGTGCGGGAAAATGCCAACGAACACCTGCAAGTAAACAAAACTGGCAGACACAAAATGTCGTTTTTACTCTGGAGGGACGACTGCGCTGACTGATTGTAGGCCTGCTTTAGACAAACTATACATTTTGAGAATAAAGTGCGTATGCGGCTGGAAAAGGAGTGTTTTAATGCATCGCTCGTCACGTCAGGAGGAGGCGTGAATTAATTTAGATAAACTTTTACAGGGTTATTTTTCGGAAATATTACCATCGATCCATCAGGTAATGTTTTTCCCTCTCTCTCCCTCTGTTGGTAAAGCGCTGTCAACAAATATTTTTCCTCCATAATCCATAATGCACTGCGCATCGGCCTACGGCAGCTAAATTAGTCCAAAAGGCGCAGTACTTTTTGCTGTTAGACCTGTTTTAGTACAAATCATATTCTCACCACAAACGAACCTCGCCCGGGTTCGTTTGAAAGCATACCGAGACCACCTCTTAAACCAGGTCTCCTACGCTTAATTGGTCTGCTTTTGGTGCGCACTCGAGTACGATTGCTGCATTCTCACCTGCCCAAATGAACCGCACCAAAAGGGGAAACAAACTCTACTGCGATTCAATCGAACTAAATAAGGCAGTTGTAAAAGCACCCATAGTAGCTAAAAAAAAATCTTTAAAAAATTCATGTAAATGCAATGTCTACTACAGAGGACACAAGTCAATGGGCCGGGACTCAGGAGGATATATCAAGGAATCTAAAAAATAAAAAAAAAAACACTATTTGAGCATAAGTATACTGTATACACTACACATTTTAGCTAAATATATGCACCATTGGTTTGTTTCACATTTTATGAAAGCAAATGTATGTGTCAGTATGTTGTCAGAATGATAAAACTGTATAAATTGTGAAGCAATAAAGCGATTCTTTTACAAACTAATATCTATACAAAGTCATTTTTACTTCAACTCCCTAAACACCAGTGACAACAAAGAAAAAAAAGAACGAGCAAAAGTGCATGAGGCAGAAAGAAACCACAAGAGAGTAAACGCCTGAATAATTGCACTAGAACACAGTTTGTTCCCAGCAAATACTCCATAAATATTCCTTAGCTTGTTCCCATTGTGACGATGTGTTCTTGTCTATGGGAACATGGTGCAGGTACTGAAAGCTTCAATTGATCCTGAATGGGTAACTAATGTGAGGATCTGTGTGGAGACGTGCTGGACAACTCACGGTAAGAAGCAGACTCAAGCAGAGGAGTGTTTAACTGAGGGAAATAGACAATTACAAGAACGCCACCGACCAATTCTGATATGCCACCTCTATGAACAGAAGGACTGGTGTTGAGGAAAGACAGCAAACCAAGTAGACTCTGCTGCCTCGTTCAAACATCGCACAGCCATTAACTCCACTGTCAATCACTCCTAATAGGGTTTAGTCAAAGGCGGAGATTCTCTCTCTCCCTCTATTTGAGGACAGTTTAGAGCATGAATGACTTTAGCTAAAGTGTACAGCAGCTTTATTTAATAATATTTAGGCTTTTTGTTCTTTAATTACATTTTAAATATATATAATTAAGTCAAAGTATGTTTTATCATGAGATTCAAAAGCTGAATAAAAAAAATAATAATACAGCAAAATATTTTATAACCTGATATAGGAATAAATAGATCCTGTTAAAATCACTGTTGCAATTCTAATAATAAAAAAATGAATTTAATTTGCATCATTCTTTAAAATTGCAGGGGTTTATGTATATAAATAAATATATATATATATATATATATATATATATATATATATATATTAGTGCCGTCAATCGATGAAAAAATAAACTAATTAATCCCACTGTTTGCAATTAATCACATTTATGTTCGCGATTAATCACATTTAAAAGACTGAAACGTAACATCATTGTAAACGCAAGACAAAAATCTATTTAAATTCAAAATACAATTGTTTATTAGAATTTTTGTTTTAATTCGTAACACAGATTTCTTCATGTAAACAACATATCCACAATAAACCATCAAGATCCTGGCTTGACAGCCATGTTTATTACAGAAATAAAAACACAGGCATGTTAGTGCCATTTTAATTTCAAAACAATTAATGCCAATGAAGAAAAAAATGATTTCCATGTTGGATTCTAAGTGGAATGCAAAAAGATGCCCAAATACAGGAATTGCAAATATAAATTAAGAACCATCAAGCGGTACATCAAAAGCACTCACGGGTACGCGTTAAGTCACACCAAAGACTAATTCTTACAGGGACTTTGTTCACACCATCTCTAAACATTTAAACAACTTTGAGGGATACGGACGGTGAAATTGGTGTTGTTTAACGCAAACCCTACTGGATTACGCTATAAATACATCTACAGCACTACAACACAAAAGAAAGAGATTGACTTACAATGTCACTTACCTGCACTGTAAAAAACAAACACAATTTTACAGGTAATTTTATGTGTTTTTGTAACAGAATTTTCCGGTTTGTTCATTATACAGTGAAATACTTGTTGTTTAACAGATATTTTCTGTAATAAAAAATGTATTGTTTTTTATTGTTATGTCAGTTATTGGCTGCATTTTGGTATTATGTTAATTTTCTGTTTTTTAAAGGAAATTTTTTGCATTTTCAGAGAGCAACACATAATTTTACAATAATATTTACAGATTATTCATGTAAAAATTGGAAAACAAAAATTCAGTCAAATTGTTTTTAGTACTATTGAAGATCATATGAAGAATAAAGTCAGGTTAATAATGTCAAATAATAGCCTATTGTTTGTAATGCATGCACTGTAAACTATAAAATGTTTATTTTACTACTATATAAATATATATGAATTCAAATGCATGACCAACCTGCCCATGAAGTCATCCTTCTTCCCTGCATCTTTGTCCCAAACAGTGATGTCAACAAAACCACCCTGTTCATCATAGAGATGGAAGTCAAACTGCTCTCTCCACTGGGGGTTTAGTGTTTTTGGTATCGTCTGCACGACATAAAATGTGCACATTTGATCAGCATTTTACCTCAAACAAAAGAGCAATTCTCTATAGAACAAGTAACTGGAATACAGCTCATGGCCCATACCTTACTTTTGTACTTTTGATGTCCCATTCTGAATTTGACATAAGGGTCACTAAGGCCATTGTTGTCCATTGGCTGGAGGTCATGTGCCTCGATGAGACTGATGCTAACAATGCCTCTCCACAGCTGAGATTTTCTGTGAACGTCTGATAACCTCAGACTCTGATGCTGCAATGTGACACAAACAAACACCCAGACACAAACTCGTATCAGGAAAACAATCCAACGTAAAGAGAAAGACGGTAAAATGACTCAGGAGATCCAGTGAATGGCAAAGGATGCATTTGTTGCCAAAAATGTGATATGCGTCAAGTTCAGCAACATGGAACAACTTGGGGGCATTAAAGGTGAGGAAAATATACATACAGAGAATGCACAGCACTGCAAAAAACAGACACAGACAACGGCAAACACAGAAAAAAGTGTGCCGACGGTATCCTTCCATCTATAAAACCAGAGCGTCCATTAATTTATCATACTGTCAATATTTTAGGACCAGAAAGATTCTTAAATTTGTTTGAAAGTATCTTATGCTGCATTTTGATCAAAAATAAAGTGTAATGTTGTGAACTATTGTCAATTTAATTATTTATTATATTTATATGTATTTTTAAATAAACTGTTATTTAATTATTTGTTATTTAATATTTGTTATTTAAACTATTTTAGCGTACAGTAGTCAACAAGTTTGAAGTGGGTCAAAAGACTTTTCAAAGACAAGAATGGATGTTTTTCAACTGTTTTAGGACAACTTTGATCAAAAGTTTCGATCCACTTCTAATGTTGACTATTGTATATTCAAGTGATGCAAAGCTCAATTTTTAACAGCCATCACTCCAGTCTTCAGTGTCATATTATTCTTTGGAAATCATTCTAATAAAATATTTACCTGTGAGTAACATTTCTTAATGTCATCAATGTTGTAAACAGCTGAGCTGCTTAATTGTTGTGCTATAATAATCCATATTTTAAAAAAAAATTTGAAACAGAAATCTTAGCAATGCAACAACATTTCACTGTTACTTTTGATCAAAATGCAATGAATACTTTATGAATAATTGAAAAACCTTAAAACATATACATGATAACCGACCCCAATCTGATTAAATAAATTACAGTAACCTCTCAAACCACTTCCAAGAATCAGTCAACATCCTTTAAAAGCATGAGTCTTACAACATTTTGAGGAACATTCCTTGGTTTGTAACTAATGTAGTAGGAGAAACAGAGAATACTGTCTAAAATGTAACTCTTCTTGTTTGTTGAGTGGTTCCATAAAATCAGTGACATATTTGAACTTACACACTAATATACAGATATTCAGTATAATTCAACTCTTATGATTGTATATAATCTGTGATATATACATAAAGTGAGGGGGGAAAGTACAGTATATATATATATATAAGTATATATGGGGTGGAGGTGATGGTGCGGTGGCGGAGGGGTGTCGCAGACAAAAGTGAGTGGGGCGGCGGGGGTGTTGCGGACGAAAATGAAGAAGGTTAGGGAGTCGCGGAAGAAAGTAAAAATGTACAGCGGACGTGGAAGAGGGCAGTTGAGGAGGGGGATCGGTAAAATGAGGTACAAATTAAGGCACAAATTAAGCCCTGGTCTCGTCTATCGATCTTTATTTTGAATTTTCTATTGGATTGGAGTTAGGTGATGGGCTGTGCCATTTTACAGCTTGATTTCTTTTTCTAAAAGAATTTGAGAGTTTCCTTGGATGTGTTTAGATCACTGGCTTGCTGCAATGTCCACTCTGGTTTCAGCTTCATCATCCTGCTAATGTAGATGTTGGACTGAAGCAGCTGAAGGTAATTTACAATGAAAAAGGGCAGATGGTTGCTAAATAACTGAGAGATTTCAGCTGCTTTCTGGGCTTACACTGAATTTCTACACCTCCCTTTCTTCATGTGTTCAATATTTTTTTTCTTTGTTATTTAATTTCATTACACCTAACTTCATTTGTAAAGTAATTATTATTGCTTTCTTTGCATATATGGATTTCTTTGGGTGTTACCAACATATGAGAAAAAATGGCTATGTGTTGAATACTTCTTTTCCTCGCTGTATTTTCCAATTTTATACTTATTTAATGTAAAGTCTTCTAGTAAAACTATAAAATACACTTTATGCACTTCATTCACATCGTTTTATCAATAGAGCAAACGCAGTCTTCAGCACAGTAAAAGATTTGCCAAACAAACAATTGTAATAGTTATTTCTGTGCTTAATTTGGACTCCTTATTAACATGTTTCCTGTTTAAAATGCATTTCATTAAACTCAGAGCAAACCCGTTTGAAAAAAAAAAACAGCTTTGATGTTAAAAGCAGGCAACTAATGACATTCTCTCCTGATATTAATGTGATACACTGACTGTACACAACCTTGTGTAAAATGATTATTTTCTGTGTCTTAACATGAACATTTGAACATGACCTTTGCCTATGATGCTGGACAAAATTAAGTATTCTTATTTGTTAAATTTTATTTACAGCTGTAAAAAACACAATTGAAAAAAAAGAAAGTGGAAACATACTGGGACCCTTGCTAAATATGAGCAAAGGCGGCAGTGAAAAAAAAAAAGATTCTAGGGACACAATATCTTTTGTACCCATAACCCATTCTATTGACAGTACATTTGGAATAACATATCCTCTTTTAGGCTGATTCATAACACTTCCACCTGAGCGCGGTTTCTGAATTATTTCCGTGATAGCAGATGTCACAAATCTCTAGGGTCATACAGTAACAAAATACATGTGATGGCATTAAGTATTTAAAATATAAAATATAAGTACCTGTAGTTCATTAAAATTACATTTTAAATACGTGGTCATCAAACTGTAGTTGCATCTGAAAAGTACTTTGAATTTTAATATCATTGATTAATTTAATAATTAATAAACGTGGGGATTTTAACCAATAATGGGAAATTAATTTTGTATTTTGTAATCTGTAGTGAAATACTTTTTTAAAGTAACCATCCTAGCCCTGCAAATCAGGGTTATGAATGGGTATTCTTTTTAGTCATTGACCGAACTTCTAAAGACCATCGAGTCTCCCACTAAGCACAGGCATTCGTCACGCCACAAGTCTGCCACCGTGTGGCCAACTTCAAGAACTGTTCTACCAGTTCTACCAATGAGCATTGAATATTGAACTTCACATAGTGCAAAGGATATATATTTTTTATTATCCTCAAATTACACCCCGTTCAAATTACACCAGAATTACCGACTGTTACCACGTTTTTATTCTGAAATTTATTCCCACGCTGCAAGAAATCTGGTCGGGTCCCGTGGCTCCTTTGGGAATGCAGACCTCTACCTCAGTGCACAGCCACCGGTCCTCATTGAGCTCCTTTGTCTTATCAATGACTGTCCACAAACCAACAGCAGAGTGCTTCTGCTTTTCACCTGTTGAGTTAATTAAAACTTTTCCAAATGAATCAGGGTAATCTGTTAAGAGTGTATCCTGACCTGTCTGCTTGTGACTTGTTGTCTTTGTGTGTTGACTGCATGTACAACTAAATTGTATAAAATAGTTTGAAAGCAAATTACACCTAAGGGAGATAACCTTAATGGTTTTTTTACTTTTAATAATTCCAACTTTGAATGTTAGAATGTTCTAAATGAATAGGGCATGGGGAGGATAACTTGGAATAGAACACAGCCAGGAAGTATGCTTCTAACAACAGCTCCACAGCTATAGTTGCAAGTGCTCAAGTTTGCGACGCAGTTTGCGAATGGTCGTTGGAGCGACGGATTTGGGAAACAGCAAACCAACAAACTTTGCTTGTAACGACGGAACTTGCGACCTTAGTTGGCTAACGATGGTTTTGGGAAATGCACCCCTGGTCTGATCTGGTCTTCATGAGTATTGAACATTCAACTTTCATTTGCCCTTTTTCCTCTAATTAAGGTGTTTTTGGTTCAACTTAAGAGGATAAATTCTGAGTTTTTTTGTTTTGTTTTTTTTTTCCCTAAAATAATCAGCTTCGACTATTAGAAACTTTGTATTTTCCCATAGACTGTGACAGTTTGCAATGGGTATGAATAATTTTGGACATGCCACTTTTTGTTCAAATGGAAATAAAAGCTGAGATTTCCTTTTTTCCACAGGGATACCTCTTGTACATCATCTTATTATCTTTTGGCAGAGTCTGTGTCATTTCCAGTCAAAAAAAGTATTTAAATAAAAAGAATAAAAGTAACTCAGAATTCAGAATTTGTCAGAATTTTCCAAGGGTATGAATAATTTCATGCTTGACTATATAATGCTGTGTTTGCAATTGTTATTTCATTGAAAACTGTTTGTTTTGTTGTTGTAAAAAAAAGAAGCTAAAGGTTCAACAATAAAGACATTTCCAAAGGCTTATTTGCTCATTTTTACCAAGTGTTCCAATATTAATGGAAGCCACTGTACAGAAGAATCATGAAGTAGTATATGTAAGAACAAATAAATCAGAATTTTAACTAAATCTGTGTAATGAATATTGTTCTTACATGTATTTCAGGGTGGAGTTTTCTTGAAATTCATATTCCAGATCAGAAGTCTTAATTTTGGAGATGTATCAATTACAAATCCCACTTGCATCTACGGAGCGCATCATTTACAGTATTTGAGAAATGAAAGAGATATAGGGAGTATAAATAGAAGAAAGACCCAAGTGTGCTCCGCGAGCAGTGTAAAAGAAGTTATCGCTGCACTGTTACAGTATTCCCGAATCCCAGTCAACATGGCCCACTTTGAGCTTCAAAGACTTGGGTGGAGAAAGCTTTTCAGCAGGACGTCCTTCTCCACAAGCTGGAGAGCCACTTTTATGTTTCTGGGCCTCTCTGAAAGCTGGGTTCCAACATTAGTCCAAACAAAACAGGAGTTGCTTGACCTCTGCTGGGAACGTGCGGCTGAGAGCTGTGCTTTTTGTTCTCTTGAGTAGCGCAAATCAATGCAACTAGGTTGTGGGTTAGAAATGCCTTAAACTGGGACTCCACTTGAAGATCACAAATTACCACTGAAACTAGGACTTCCACTTATAGTTGACAACAAAAAAGGTCTGCTTTACACACACACATGCATGAACCAGAGACGAAGAGAGTAGTATGCTATTCCCATCCCAGACCAACATGCCACCTTCATACAACACTATCCACTCACAACACAACTGAGAAAAGAATATGCAAATAAAAGGAGAAGTATAAAATAGCATTAATGTAAAGATGAATAGTGAGATTGATAAGAAAAAAAAAGGATTAATTTGGGCTTTTTTGAGAGTTTGTTTAAATATGTAATCATCAAATATGTTAGTTTAGCATTATTTATACCAGAGAATATACAGGAATCAGAGTTAAACTAAAGACCTTTTTTAAGCCTCTTTCTATACATTTTAAGACTGTATAACCGCTTTTCAAACAGAAACACTGGCGAGATTTTAACTTACAGTATATTTACTAAATATTAAAGTAAGAAATTAATCAAAAACTAAAAAAAATCTATTAAATCTAGCTAATTCAGCAGGTTGGCACCTATTCACCCTATTCATCATGTACAAGCGGGCACAGCCATTTGAATGTTTTTGGCTCGAGACTTCCGGTCTCATTCACTTCCATTCATTTTTAGATGTTAAAAACAGCTCGTTATGCTGCTTATTGTTGAAAACTAATATTTTCTTATTATGTTATTCTACTTGGTCTTTATAGTCATGCAAACACTTGTTTGTAGAGCAAGTAGTTTGACCGTTTTCTGCCATTTAGCATTCCTAGTAATTTCTCCCATCTAAAGTTCTAAAGCAATCACAAAAACGAGCGCACTTCCGCATTGAAGAATAAGGTCAATAGAACAGCAGAAATAATGGTGTTGCAGTAAACACAGCAGCATGATGTCAGCTCCAGTAGGATTTCATAAATTTCATAAACTACGCAGCATCCTGATATTCGCAGATTTAATTTAGGCAAACGTTAGCATACAACCATACATTGCATAATTAAAAATGATATGAAATGTAATACCTTGCAAAATAGCATTTAAGACTTTTTAATACTTATTAAGAGCCTTAAATTTCTCTACATTGATGTAACAATTAATTACTTGTTAGGACCCTGCAGACACCTTGTATACATATTTATTATTTTTTTTATTTTTATTATTATTATTATTATTATTATTATTATTATTATTATTATTATTATTATTATTATTATTATTATGCATTTAGGAATTTTACCATTTTATTTAATTCGTTGCCAAAGGAAACATATGTTTAGTGTTTTTTATTATTAAAAATACATTTTATATCAGTTTTATTACAATTAACATAAACTGTAATGGTTTAATTTTTTAAATAGATATGACCCTATATCAAATACGAAACAATAATGTTTATTTGAATGTAGAAACACAAAAAGTAATCATATTTTAAATAATTATTGTATAAAGAAATGAAAATGATTAGCATAGCTGCACCATTTTAAATATAGATAAAATAAAACAAAACAAATGATGCATTGAAAATACATCAGAAAACAACAGTAAATAAAATAAAAATGTTTTAAATAAGGCAAAAATAGACATATTCTAAGGTGAAAGAGATGTATTAATAAGGACTGCACAATATATCGGTTCAGCATCAATATCGCAATGTGATCATTCACAATAGAAACGTTGCGAGTATATGCAATGTTGAGTCTGGATTATAATTGATCATTTTGCAAGTGTTTTTGAGTCCTTTGACTGTGTCAAAGTATTTAAGGCATTCAGGCATAAGAAAATGTATCATTTGTAACTTTGAAAAATTAATAACGATCAATTTTATTAAATTATTCATAAAGCGAAGACTATGCAATATTATTTCATATTTCATTATTCAATTACTGTATACCTGAATACATTTCGACTCTTTAGAAAACATTGAATTGTTGTTTATTTAATTAGCATATTTTTTATGAATTTATCTATGCTTGTAGATTGTTTGTTAAATGTTATGCACCCCTATGAAATCATTTCAATCAATGTAAAATTATAAATTCTTTCCAAACTGTTTTTCAACTCATCTAGAGAAATAGTATTCTCATTGAGTACAGAATAAAAAAAAAAACACTGCAATGTGTAACTTTTTCAGCCCTATTAATCAATAAAATCGTTAAAAAAAATATTAAATAAAATAATGTGCAAGGTTCACTAGACTAATTAAAATAAAATAAAATAAAATAAAATAAAATAAAATAAAATAAAACAAATGTATGAAATCATGCAAAGTATAGACCATTTTGACGGATGTAAACAAAAACAATGGTCCCAACATATTTCCTGTTTTACATTTTTAATTTCTATATCTTCCGGGAATCCAAAACGAGCCACATATTAATAAATTATGGTATGATAGATGTTTTAACATTAAGTTGTGATTGAATTGCCTCGTGTTACAGTTATGAAATAGTTTGATAACAAGCAGGAAATTTTTATGGGCCAGTGACATGACCACATTAAAATAGTCTATACAATTTTTTCTTGTACATTAAGATAGGAAGATGTGTTTGTGTGTACATAGCTTTAAGTTTATGTTTCGTTTAATCCAATCTATAATCACCACATTTTTTGTAAGTGGTTTATTTGATCACACTCTGTACATTTTCCACCAATAAAGTGCATGATCTCCTCACAGGACACTGCAGCACATGCACCGTGCTCTCGATGCAATATGAAGATGACGACAACAAAGATATCTTTATTTTCTCAGTCAGCTGCTGCAATACACAAAGGAAACTGTCGGCTTTCAATCTGGATCTGAATCAAAAACATTTTTTATTGCTAATTTGAGCAAACCGTGACCCAAAAGTGCCCTTTCTAAATTGAACACTAGATGGCAGCGTTTTGTACCATGCATATTGCAGCATATAGAAAATAAAGTCAGCAAAAGCCGATTGTACAACCGAGACAAAACAGGTAAGTGAGGGTTAAACAAAAGGAAAAAAAAGTCCCCTTTGAGTCTGAGCAGAGCATTGCAGAAGGCAGGGATCAGTACATGCTGTTATTACCTTACTGGATCGTTTCCAGCTCCTTCTCATAAGCATGGTCTGTGAATGAGACAAAGCATTATAAAGCCACCCCTTGCCTTCTTTAACAGGGTGTTGGAGGTGAACCTGACATCCTGTCTGAATACACTTCAGAAGAGTCAAGGGGTCATAAGGAGGCAGCCCGGGGAAGTTATGGTTGGGGGTGGGCAGCCATTATAAACTAATAAAACTACTAAATCAAACACACTCGAACAAAGGAAAAAAAGTGTCATTCAAATCTTTGTTAGGTCACTAACACAAAGATACACACACAACCCACAATCACACAAACATACAGGTATCTCTATAGATATTATGCCAGCTAAGTTCTTAAAATGTTCCCGTAAAGTCCCCATTAGCTTATATAACTCTAAATGTTTAGACATTTTGTTTTGTTTATTAATATCTATAGACTTTTTTCATTATAATAACTTTATTCAAAATATATTCTGTTATATTCAATATACAACCTATATTTTCATAATGATCCAGTTTCATATATTATTAACGTTCTCAGGAATTTATTCAAAACATTATTAGAATATTCCATCTGGTTATACTTTATTTTGATGGTCCGTTTGTTGAATTTAAGTTACATTGCATCTACATGCCAACTAATTCTCATTGGATTATATGTAGATTGTTGGGCTGGGGTTAGGGTTGGGGTTGGGATTAGGGTTAGTGTAAATTGATGTTACAAAGTTTCTTATAGTCAGGTAAATGTCTGGTAAAGGAGCAGTGTCAAAAGATATTAAGCAGACAGTCTACTAATACTCAAATGGACCATCAAAATAAAGTGTTACCTTCCATTCACATTATATAATTGTTCTATGAATGTTTCTCTAGTGTTCTCAAAAAGCTATAAAAATTTTACTTTAGAATTTATAATTTAGAATTTTTTTTATTAAATAAAAATAACGTGATATAGAACTAAAAGTTTAATTTCAATTAACTATGCATTGTCATTTGTATAAACATTTAGTATAAATGACTATTGAGTAATTAAGCTACTATTAGACAAAGTACAGTAATTTAAAGTAATGTAAATAAAGTTTTAGTAATTTAGTAATTTTAGTAATTTAGTAATTTATACCACAATAATTATGTAATTAGTAACATTAACATTAATTAATTATTTTTAAGTAACTTACCCAACACTGCCTACAACTGTTAAAAAAAAGTATTGTTGCTTTTGCATCCTCCTTCACATAGTGAATTTGTGCAAATATATATTATACAAAAAAATATTCACTGGATTTTTAAGGTGAGTGGCTGCAAACAATGAAAAATAGTAATGTTCAACTTAATTTCTTTGTTTAAATTCAGCCCAAATCAATTTTTGCAACCGATTGCCTCAGCGCAAATACCTTATCATACACTATTGAAAAAAATATTCATTTGATTTACTTTTTTTGTAAATCAAATGAATATTTTTTTCAATAGTGTATGATAAGGGATTTATGCTGATATTCCTCTCCACACTTTTTCCATTATCATATTTAGATCAGTACAGAGGGTAATTAAGTGTATGGTCACAGATGGTATAGTACATAATAGATGGTGGTCTTGAATGTTCATAACCACATTGACCAAGGATTGAGGATATTCTTCTACAGAACATAAAACCACATTATTTACATTATAAAGTCACTTTGTCCTTGTTAAACATGCTGAACAATAATTGCTTTTTTTATCCCAAATAATAGCATGATGTATGAGCGCATAAAATGTAAAGTAAAGAGAGGCTGCATTTGTTAGGACACTTCAGCAGGCCAACAGATTTCTGGACTCATTTTCCTCTCATTGAAATTCTGTCGGCCAATGCCGGGGGTATTCTCTAGACAATAGATATCTTTCTCAAGTATGCAATAGAAGCACTTTCCAGGTCAGACACTGTCTCATGCAGCTCAGAGAGCTCATTTGTAGTTTTCTGTACTGCGGTCAGATGGGTGGAATAGTGGAGTATTTAGAGACAAACCATTTATAACTCTTTACAAAAACATGGACGAACTGCAAAAATAAATAGTTTGGTTTAAACATTTGGAAGATTTTTTAAAAATTTGAAAGAAAATGCATAGTGATTATTACAGTTTAAAATAACCCTTTTCTATTAAATTATATTTAACCTGTTATTTATTCCTTAGATGACAATGAATTTTAAAAAAATTATCAATATTCTATGAGTTTTGGTGCTCAAGATACATTTCTGAAAATGAACGATTTTTCAATAATTGATTTGATTGATTGATTGATTGATTGATTGATTGATTGATTGATTGATTTGATTGATTGAAACTAAATAAGTATAAAGCTGCGGTCACACTAGAGTTTGTGTGTGCGAAATTCTGTCGTGTGGCGCTGTGAAAAGCGGCAGGATTAAACAAGATGATTAGACGTTAATAAAGCAAGCGATTGCTTCATGTTTTAAATTTCTGTCCAGAAAAGTCATGTTTTGATCCTCGATTGGTCTCATGCAGTCAAGTGATGCGATTTTACAGATCAGAGTTCACCAAGCTTGAACTTTGCACCGCAGCAACATGCGAAACTTAACGCATGACTCTGCGTTTCCGGTATGACGCATTCGCGTGAATATGAATGGAAGTCCATGGGAGGAAAAGCCCAGTGTGACCGCAGCTTTACACTTTTCATCAGATTACCCCAATCACGCAGACAAAACTTAAATTTTCTAATGCCTTTGCAGACTTGCAAAGACTGATCTTAAATATATCATTGCCTTTGTCTCAAGATGGACACCGTTAAGATTTTAAGTCACTTTCATAAAATTACTAATTGAGCTATGGACTAATTTTAGTTTAGTCTAAGCCCTGTCTGTGAAACCAGGCCTTAATGTTTCCATGCTGAAAAAGGTATTCTCCAAAAAAAAAAAAAAAAAAGAAAGAAAACTAAATAACAAAATCCAAACTGATGCCAAACAGTGATAAATTATTATCTCTTTTTTAGATTACAATTTCAAAAGATACAAAATAAATAAATAAATAAATAAAAGGCAGAGTGCTTGTAAATCTCGTCCATACATTTCCATGACGTTCCATAGACAAATTTGTATAACTGTTCTTAAAAACCATTTTTCACATGTAAACAACAATTTATGCAGCAAAGTTAAAGTAGAAAAACATTTTCAACCATTTAATATCCCAGCATTGAAAATAACAGTTTTTTTAATTCCCTGATACACTGTACACGAAAAAACTGTAAACTGACGTTTGCTGTTTGTTCAAACAACTTGTTTAATATGAGTTGAACCAACATTGTTTATGTTCAATTAACTAAAACTTAAATGTTAACTTAATTCCTTTATGTTCTCTATACACAAATATTTTTACAGCAATTAGTTACCCTAAAAAGTGATTAGCACAACAAGTTTATTTTACTTTTTAAAAAGTCAGTAAACCCATTGGCTTAACTTTTATAATAATGCATAGTTTGTTTCCTTAATAATTATGTTTACTTTTTTAAAGTAAAGTCAACTAATCTTTTTTAACAGTGTTTTTCTTGGTTTACTTGGCTGTGGAAACTAAAATATATAAGACATAAATTCTGTATCTGAAAGCAAGAAACCACAGGAATTGTTGGTAGTCTCCATAATATCTGATCCTGCGACATCATATCTCATTACAGCACACACCTGCAGCTCATACTCTCAGCTCAAACACATCAGCTACAGAAGCACAGAGAGATGAAAAATAAAAGAACTCACAGCTTCCCTGAAATCCCCCTCTTTTGGAATTAGTGTGACCGCCAGCTCCAGTGAACCCAGGTCCTGTTTGGGATAGTGGGGATCTTTGAGGTCAAGGGTTACATCCAGAGTCCTAAAATGGCACAGAGGAAATCTACAATATTAATCACCAAATGCTTGCCTGGATCAATGATTATTTGTAAACTCTAAAAACTATACTGAAACAATCTACTAAAACTTCTATGTTAAGCTGCTTTCGCACAATTTTAAAAGTGCTATAGAAATAAACATGAATTGAATTAATTGAATTGTTTCATACTTTCAGCCTGATCTCAAGAGAATGTGTAATGTGTATCGTGGCTGATTCATACAAATTTAAACTATTTCATTCTTATTAAAACTTAAAATTTGTATTTTTCAAAATAAGGCATGTCCCCTACACTGTCCGTAGCCCTACCCCTCACTTGGGGCATTAGCAAATCATACTATCATGATTGTCATACTTTTAAATTAGTTTTTTAGTATATATTAACATTTTCCGTTTCACAGTTTTGTTAAAATTGTAACTGTAACTGTAATTGTAACTAAAAATAGTGTTAATAATTGATTTTCTTGTAAAGAAGGAACATTATCTTTACTAATTTTATTATTCAGATTCTATTATAGTTTACATTCAATTTGATTAAATTGCAATGTTTAATATGTATTTTAACCCCTATAATGGACATCAGGCCATGTTTTTTTATGGGTCCTGAGCATTTCATCTAATTTAAAGACTGCAGTCCATAGTGCTAAGGTTCTGCATGTTGTAATTTGAAAATAAATCCACTGCACTAAAAAGCAGCCTGGCATCATTTCACTCCAGACACAGATGTAAGCTACATTTACAATGTTTTTATTAGGAGTTATTGATACGTTCACCCAAAATTTCATAGATTGTATGTAAAAAAAAAAAGAGTCATTCCACTTAATAATTAAAGTTCGGAATATTTTGTAACATCGCAAGCTTTAAAACCAAGGGTTTTTTTTTTTTTTTTTTTAAATATGTCTGTTCATTAGAATGTAAAATGGGTTCAAGATCTGCTACTGAAATTAAATATCTAATAACGCTGACAGAATTTTTAAAATATACAATAAAAGACTTTATCAATGGACTGATTCATTGCTGAAACAATCTCATTTGCAGAATATTAAGACCTTGAAGTTCTTAAACATACAGCAGATGGAAATATCTCAGATTTGAAGATTATGTGGAGTAATGAGGAAGATAATGATAAAGTTTGTTATAAATTATATTATGTCATCATTTGCTCATTCTTTACTTGATCTGTTTGATTTTTTTCTGAAGAAAATATATATTTTAAAGAAAACGGAAAACCTGTAACCATTGACTTCCATCGAATTAGCTTTTTTTACCATGGAAGTCCGTGTCTACAGGTTTCTTTTGTGTTCAACAGAACAAAGAAACTCATTAAGTTTAAACCACATTAAGGAGAGTAAATGATGACGTAATTTTCCTTTTTTCAGTAGTCTATCCACACTAACACTAAACACTAGAGGGCAGCAGAGTCTAAAAAAATAAAGTCTTGTTGCTCTTGAGATTGTGCTTCAGATGTGTCATAAAGCATCAGAGGACCTTTGGTGTTCCAGGGACTCTAAATAGAGATATGCAGATCCCATAAAGTCATCCTGCAGCCCGAAGTCATAGTCAAAGACCTGCAGAGGAAAGAAAACACCTCACAGTAAGACATGTACTAATAATAGCAGTATTAGTAGTAACAGTAATAACAATCACCATAAATATAGTAATTCTTCACAATCTCTGGGTCAGTCACTATTGCAATCATTAAATTGTGACTGATTACTAATGACAGCAGAAGGTTTTAATTTCAATTTATTCCACAACAAGGGAGTGTGCATTAATCAACATTGCTCAAGAACGTAAATGTACCCAAATTCATTGGTCGTCCATTTGACAGAATGCTAAAAGCCTACATCAATAGCAATACAAATTCAATCTTTAAACAACCTGAAATGGACAAAAAAAACTACAACTACTACAGTATTAAAAGCTCAGTGTTCGCAATGTTGATTATTAAGAAGTGAAGATTATTAAGATTCTGAATTAAATTATACACAATCTCTAACAGATTGTAGTATCAAGTTCCATGCTTGAAAAGAAAAACAGGGTTGTTATTCTATATATATTTCAAATTTCACTATAGGTCTTATGGGTTAATACAAATGTATGACAGCCTTTAAACCTTTTAGTCTGTTTCAGTTCAGGCTTAAATAACATTTCATTAGACAATAGAATTACAGTAAAAAAAAAAATCTAATTCTGTCCATTTTATTATGTAATTCAAACAATAGTTTACTGATGTGATGGTATGCAGATGGTATGCAGTACAAAAGTTGCTGTACAGAACTGCTGTAAAATGCATTATTACGGTTTGAGGTTTTTTTTCTGCTATCCACACTGAACCGTGAATTTAAATCACAAAACCATTACATATGAATATGGTTCCACCCACTATTAATCAGCCACCAGTTATTGTAATATCATTACTTACTTTCACGTAAAGTGGCTCCCTTAAACTCTCCACCAGCAGACTGACTTTCTCCTCCCATACTGGGTTCAGGTTCTTGTGGATTGTCTTGCTGCGAAAAACCTCCTTTCCTGCGATCTTAAACTTCACATAGGGATCACTCGTTCCTGTCAAAACAACAAGAAAAATGTGCAATACACTGATAAAAAATATGTAAATTAACATTATACTTTCATACTGTATTATGGGATCTTAATCTCAAAACTAACACCTTTTAATGTTTAACAAAAATTAACTCTAGAATGAACACAGTTTTTATATATATATATATATATATATATATATATATATATATATATATATATATATATATATATGAGAAAAAGGAAAGAAAATAGTATGAGGAGAAAATAACATCAAGTTTACTCTTAGCCCCATAGACCCAAAATAATATAATAAATGCATAAATACATTTAAATGTTCATACGTTTTTTTAAAAATCAAAATATTAAAAACTCAAGGATTTAAGATTATGATGACCGCTAAACGCATCATAACAGTCTTGTGAAAATGATCTTTTACACAATCAAACTATGTATTGATTAAAATACTTAAAATTCTTCTTATTATTTTTCATTTATTCACACAGTTTCCTTTATAAATCAGGGGTCGCCACAGGAAAATGGACCACCAATTTATCCAACCTATGTTTTTCACAGCGGATGCCCTTCAAGCTTCAACCCAGTACTGGGAAACACCTATACACACTCATTTACACACATACACTCTGACCAATTTAGTTTATTTAATTCACCTATACCACATGTTTTAGGACAATAAACGCCACACAAAAATGCCAACTGACCCAGCCGGAACTCGAACCAGCAACCTTCTTGCTGTGAGGCAACAGTGCTAACCAAAGAGCCACCGTGTTGCCCATTATCATTTTTATTATATATATATATATTTTTTTTTGTCACTTTGCTTGTTTTTTTAACATCAAAACTTAGCTGAGTTGGAGAAAAGATCAAGGTCTCGAAATGCAGTGTAAAATTGTAAGGCCATGTCCACACGAACATGGATACTTTTATAAATTTTGTGGTTTGGTGTGAACCCAGCTGTTGTTGTCAGAAAGAGGAAAAACAGTGAGCACACTGACATCATGAGGAGAAAACTGTTGTTCACTTGACCACACTGTGCCTGGAGTTTTGGAAAATCTTCACCCTGGCCTAAGTTTTCTAAAAGTTTTGGTTTCAGTCCGCCGATACTCCGTTTTCATGTGGACAAACAGCAAAATTGTGTAGGTTTTGAAAATACCTGTGTTCATGTGGACACGGCCTAAAAACAAACAGAAAACACCCAGGATTCATAGAATTACAGTTTTCAGAGAAACTGTAAAAATAATAATAAAAAAGACAATTTTTCAGTGAAATTAGATCATAGTAGAACATAATAAGCAGCACTTTGGACACACATACAAATTAGACACATCCAAATTATGAAAGAAAAAAACATTGACAGAATAATGATGCTAAACTTGAATTCAATTCTGTTCCATTCAATTCCAAACCCTGTGACTAGTCACTACTTAACATTTGAGAGTTTCAGACTAAGATGCTTCTTGCTGACATCAACAAACAGATAGTTTCTATCTTTTTGTCTTTTTTTGAAGAACAGTCCAGAAATTATGGTGTTAAATAAATGAGTCTCAGAGAGATTAAGGTCACATGATCTTAACTGTCACCCCTTATTTGATCAAGCACAAAAATTAGAGCGTACAAGTGTGCTGTGTGGAGCCAGGGGCATTCAAAATTCAGTACGTGAGCACAAATATAAATTAAAAATACACTAATGAATGCTAATCATCATGACAGCATATATTATACAGCCAGAGAAAATAACAGAACTGGACAGAAAGAACCACTGCAACATTTACTATGTGTGAATGTAATACTGCGCAATGTTAATATATTTAGAGACAGGTCTAAATGTGTTGGTTTCTGATCTAGCTAAAGCAGCAACGTGACATTCGATTTAATTGGCTTGCGGTAAAACACAGCACAGCTCCCGTCTGGACCGCTAGATGTCAGTGTATGCTCAGTGTACATGTCTGCATGCGTCAGCTGACCTGCTCTCACTGCAGTGGATCAGAATCTGCACTCCATCACTCTAACACATGAAGAACAAGCAGAGAGCATCATACTGTATCAACCAGGGAACTTGTCATGCAGATTTAATGAATCGAGAAGGTATTTTTATTCATGTAAAAATGTTGAATTATTTTTAACAAATGAATTAAGTAGCATTTGCAAAATGAACGTTTATAAAATTTTCATTAAAATATAAGAGCATTGTTTGTGAAATAAACAATAAAAAGCTTGAATAATAAATAAGTAGAACAAGCGTTGTGAACATTTATAATTTAATTACTGCTTATAATATACATTTATAATTTAATTACTGCTTATAATATACATTTATAATTTAATTACTGGGTAACACGGTGGTTCAGTGGTTAGCACTGTTACCTCACAGCAAGAAGGTTGTTGGTTCCAGTCCCAACTGGGTGAGTTAGAATTTCTTTGTGGAGTTTGCATGTTTTCCCCATGTTGCCCCAAAGATATGTGCTATAGGTGGAATTGGAAAAACTAATTTGACCGTAGTGTATGTTTCTATGGATGTTTCCCAGTATTGGGTTGCAGCTGCAAGAGCATCCACTTTGTAAAACATATGCTGGAATAGTTGACATTTCATTCTGATGTGGTGACCCCTCATTAATAAGGGATGGTAAAAAAATAAAAACATGGTAAACATGGTAAAAAAAAAAAAAATATATATATATATATATATATATATATATATATATATATATATATATATATATATATATATATATATATATATATACTAAAATTCACCACAATACTTTTCTAGTTGGTTGCTTACATTACAAATTGGAAAGTGCAAATCATTTTTGTGTTAAAATTTTAACAAAAAAAAAACATAACATTTTACAGCCCAAAAATCTAAATCAAATCAAACCAAATCATTTAATTTATTTTTTAAAAATTGCATATTAAGTTTTTACATAGCTCTTTTTAGCACTTCATAATTCTGAAAATACTGCATACAGCCACCTTCAGATATGACTAATAATATGAAGTTTGGTTTATGTAAGTTATATAAGCGCAACACAAGTAGGGATTTATGAAAATAACTCATTTTGAGAAAATTGCATTTAAAATATGCATCAAATTTCAAATCTACAGACACAAATAGATTTTGGGAGTTTTTCTTTACATTAGACTGAGAAAAAAACTTAATGACAAGTCACATACAGTACATGACAGGTGCATCGAAAATGTATTATTTTTGCCTGCTTAATTAGTAAATAAGCATTTGTATTGGATGTAAACAATGCTATACTGTATTTCAATGCAATTTCTCAATAAATCATGTTGTAGTGAATAATTTCTAGTAACATTTAGTCAGCAAAATAAAAATAATAACTGTCACAGTCACCCAGTTTTTTTGTGCCAGATCTCAGTAACATACTGTAGTATTTTTGCCTGCATAACTAAGTATTCGTGTTGAATGTAAACAATGCTATATTGTATGCAAATGCAATTTCTCAATAAATCATGTTGTAGTGAATAATTTTAAGTAACATTTAGTGAGTATAATGCAAATAATAACTGTCACAGCCACCCAGTTTTTCTTTTGGCCAGACCTCAGTAACGTGTCCTGAATGGAGACACTCTAATAAATGACCGCTAGGATATCATTACGCTGACAAAGACAAACATCAGTGCTGGGAGAAATGTCAATATTATGAGTATATGAAGTGTTGGATTTAACAGGAATCAGATTCCTAATGTTTAAATTCTCCTCACGCTCTGCTTTGTGTGTCCCTGTGCAGAGGTGCATGATCCAGTGTCAGCAGGAAAGGACTGTATTCAACACTCAGTACAATGGCTTTGTGTGTGGGGAAAAAAAACCTACATTTGGGTGTAAATAGCTGGCAGACTTCACTATAATAACATTTAGAGGAAAAAACATTAAATACATGCAAGAATGAGATCTGAAACACATATTAGCAATTTTTAGTTTTATGAAGATGCTGCCATCAGTTTCTTTACACTAAGGTAAGTACAAACCTGTATGAGTTTTGGTTTAGGTGTTAAAATGGACAGCTTAATCAAAAATGAAAGCTTTGTTTTATTATTATTATTATTATTATTATTATTATTATTATTATTATTATTATTATTATTTTATGTTATTTTTTGGCATAAATATATCTTTTTTAGAGTATTTGGTTTTAAACGGCACCTATTTTACCCCTTTTAAAAAATGTAAGATAAGCCTATAGCAGGTCGCACACCAGAAGCGCCGCTCGGCGCCGCGACACGGCGCGTACATGACAGTTTAAAGTATCACACACCAGACGCGCACATTCAAATCATATTTAACATGAAACTAATCAGATGGCACTCTGTGGCGCGGCTGAAAAATGAACTGCGTCCTGAGCCGTCGCCGGGCGCCGCCGACAGCCGCCGACTTGCGGCGCCGGTGTGTGTATCCTGATAGAAACCTATGTTTAGAATTCTAAAATACATGGCGCTGCGTGGCGCTTCTGGTGTGCAACCTACTTTTGGTGTCTCCAGAATGTGTCTGTAAAGTTTCGTCTCAAAATACCCATCAGATTCATTATAATCTGCCAATTTTGGTGTCTGAGTATTTTGTAGCTGTTTTTGCAGCCTGTGGCTTTAAATGCAAATGAGCTGTTTCTCCCCGCCCACTGTTCCCACGTGCGTGTCTTACATCAGATAAACAGCAGTCAGTGATAGAGACAGACAGTTTAGTGGCTAATTCGAACGAATTCGTACGAGTTCAGTTGTACGAAAAAGTATGATTTTAAAAAGGAGGCGTGGCACCCAACCCCACCCCTAACCCCCCAAAAAATGTGCTGTGGACATGTGTATACATGTTATTGTAGAAATATGACATCTGGCAATAAATTCAGTAGGCAGGGAAAGTGGGCCTCAAAATAACTGAGATTTGGATTTATTTTAACATCAGGGAATTTTATAAAAGAGGCTTGTTGGGTTTCTATCACTCCATATGACAGTGGACACTATACCAGTATGTAACAAGCTAGTTGCCA